GTGTGTGTGTGTGTGTGTGTGTGTGGCCAGCTCAGCCCACCAGGGGGCGGGCTGGCTGGCATGTGGTGCTGGGGGATCGAACCGTGGTCCCTGGGTTTTTGCTAAAGCTTGTTCTAAGTAGGTGCTTCAGACCACTGAGCCATCCCACCAGCCCTTGAAATGATTTCTTTCTCTTTTTTTTTGTATTTTAGGGAAGGGTCTACAGGGTGGGTGTTCAGGGTCTCACCACTAGATCAGACTCGTAGTAATTCTCGTTTTACAGCTTCCCAAGTGCTGGGGTTATAGGCGCGCGCCACCATGCCCAGTCTCAGCATTAGTGATACATGCATACTCATGTTTATCGCAAGCTCACTTCCTATTAGATAAATCTTGGAAGTGCCTTTATCCACCAGCATATGGATAATGGAAGTGTGCTATTTATGCATGACGGAGTACTATCTGCAACAAAGGGTAAATTTTAGTCATTTGTAGGAAAATGAATGCACCTGGACTGTGTTAAGTGAAATCAGACACACAAGCTTGTGTGGTTTCTCTTACATGAGAAACACAGATTACAAAGAGCAAAGTAGAAAATAATAGGAAACAGGGAAGTAGATCTTTTGCAGTAGAAATAGGACCAAAAATTGGGAGGGGGAGGGAGGAGTGATGAAGGGAAACAGGAAAAAAAGCTGTTAATATCCATGTCCCACCTCCCTAGGAGGACTGCACGTACTGCTCAAACGTGGATAAGGAAAAGGTGAGAGAGGGCCAGGGATATAGTTCAGTGGCGTAAGCGCCTGCCTGGAGAGTGCAAGGTCCTAAGTTCCATCCTCTTTACCAAAAAAAATGGGAGATGCTGATGTGTTTGAATCTGGCAGGTCTGACTTGTAGTTGCTATCTTTTCTTTTTTGTGCTGCATGGACTGGGGAGAAGTTGAGTCTGGAAAAAAGCACACTGGAAATGGACCTATAGTTCCCCTAGGGGAGCGTGTTGTGTGCCTGTACACTGCTTAGCACAACATAGGTGGAATTTGATCTTCCCATGTAGGGCTGAAGAGCTGCTATGGCCTAGGCTTCCTCCTCTGTTGAGCCAGAGCTAGACTGACCTTCCTGTTGGGTTTCCTTTGCAGACACCCTGTGGACCTGGGAGAAATGGAAATGGAATCCATAGAAAGCAGCTCTGAGTCCCAGGCAAGCTCCCAGGATAACTCTGTAAGTGCACTGGTTATCTTAGCCTGTGTGTCAGGTGAATTGTCAGTATGTACTAAGGTGGAAGTTAGAGCTAAAGTTGATTCTGATGTTACAGAAAAGGTAGCATTTGCCATATTTTTCATTATTAGATTGTTAGATTCCTCATAAGATTGAGTTCTGACTTTAGGTTTTTTGATTCAGTCCATTTTATAAATTTATTTACTTATTTATTTTTGTATTTTTAGTAAAGGTCCACAGGGTCTCACTACATAGATCGGACTCGTAGTGATTCTCCTGTTTTTCAGTCTCCCAAGAACTGGGATTATAGGTGCGTGCCACCATGCCCAGTCTCAATAGCTGTCTAAGCATGCCCTGGGACAGGGCCAGCACTGCATGCCAGGAATTGAACCCTGACTGCTGTGTTTGCCTAAGCAGGTGCTTTAATCCACTATTTGGCCAACCCTTAAAATTTAACTTATTTTAATTTTGTTATTATTACTAGTTTTTTGTATTTGTTTTTATTCTTTATGTTTTATTTTTATTAATTTTATTGAGAAACAAGTAACAATGAGACAGCTTCAAAACAGATTAGTGGGCTGGCCCAATAGCTCAGTGGATTAAAGCAGGCTCAGGGGCCTGGGGTTCAATCCCAGGGCTTGCAGTGCTGGACCCGCCCCTGGGGCGCTCTGAGAAGGCAGTTGAGACTGGGCAATTGAGACTGAGCGTGGTAGCACATGCCTGTAATTCCAGCTCTTAAGAGGCTGTAAACAGGCTGATCAGCTGGATCACTACGAGTCCAATCTAGTAGTGTGATCCTGAACATCCTGTAGATCCTAAAGTACAAAAATGGGGGCTGGTGAGATGGCTCAGTGGTCTAAAGCACCTACTTGGAACAAGCTAAGCTAAGCAAAGCACAGGGACCCCGGTTCAATCCCCAGCACCACATGCCAGCCAGCCCCGCCCCCTGGTGGGCTGAGCTGGCCGAGCACACACAGTAAATAAATAAATAAATGTTAAAAAAATAATAAAAAATAAAAAAAGAACCAGAAAAAAAACCCTAAAATACAAAAATGGGTTGGTTAGAGGTTTTTTTTTTTTTTTTTTTTTTTTTTATAAGCTCGAAATGCCTTTAGGGCATTTCTCGTTTGCAGTGACTCTCTGGTTTAGAACACCAGAAGCTTTTTTTTTGTATTTAGTACAGGGTCTACAGGATCTCCCTACACAGATCGGACTTGTAACGATCCTCCTGTTTTCATTTCAGCCTCCCAAGTGGTGGGATTACAGGTGTGTGCCACCACACCCAGTCTTACAAAGGATTTCTAACTGTAGATGAATTATTACTTTTTTGTACTGGGAATGGAACACCTGACCTCATGCTTTCCAGGCAGGCACCTGCTGCTGAGCTATATTTCCTAGCCCTGTATCGATGGATTTTTGAAGATTCTGAACTGAGCCCAGTTTTTAAAATTGCATACAGGGTCTCACTGTGCAGTTGAGACTCATAGTGATCTTCCTGTCTCTACCTCCCAGTGCTGGGCAAGCGTGTGCCACCATGCCTGGTTTTGATGGCCAGCTTGGGCCTGGGAGTTCTGGGGCTAGCACAGGGTGTTGATCCAGGCCTTGTGCTTGCTAGGCAGGCACTAAGACGGCAGTGCTATCTCCCCAGCCCTCTATAGCCTCTTGAAAGTGACGATGGAGCTCGGATGCTAAGTGCTGCTGCTCTGGCTTCTAAGGTTAAGGATGTTCCTCTTGGGCTAACTGCAAGTAATCACCTCACATGGGAAATGGAACCTTGGTGAAGTGCTACTGTTAATAAACTGTCTGTATGTGCAGGTTGGGGGACTACTGGGGATTAAGCATAGGGCATTCTACCATTTGAGCTATATGTCCATTTGAGACAGGGTTTCTCCATGTTGCCAAAGCTGGCTTTGGACTTGAAGTCTCCTGCCTTGGCCTTTCAAGTGTTGGCATTACATGTACTGGCGCAGCACGTGGTACCAGGGATTGAACTATGCTTGGCGTGGTTTTTGTAGCATTTGTTTTCATCTGACATTTTATGTATCACATTTGAGTTACCGTAGCTCTTCAATTTGGCTTAATCTAGAAGATGCTCTGCCTTTCTTGTGTCTTTGACTCATTTCTTTGAAGTTTAGACTGTTTTTTTTTTTTTTTTTTTAACATTTATTGTGTGTGTGTGTGTGTGTGTGTGTGTGTGTGGGGCCAGCTCAGCCCACCAGGGGGCGCAGCTGGCTGGCATGTGGTGCTGGGGAATCGAACTGTGGTCCCTGTACTTTGCCAAGCTTGTTCCAAGTAGGTGCTTTAGACCACTGAGCCATCTCTCCAGCCCTAGACTGGTTTTTAAAGCAGAATGTCAGTTTAGAGTTGTTGGATCATTTCCGTAAGGCTTAGGTCAAATTGAGTAATTTTCAGGGAGGAATACAGTAATGGGGTGTGTGTATTGCTAATGTTGAATTTGCAGCAAAGGGGCGAGGATTTAGTTTAGTGGAAGAGTGCTTGTATAGCATGTCCCAGCCTCTGGGTTCAGTGGCCAGCAGGGAGTATGTGTTGGGGAATGTGTTATTTTTATTTATTTATTTTTTGTGGAACCAGGGATTGAACTCAGGCTCTTGTGCTTGCTAGGGAAGCACTTACTCTACTGAGCCATCTCCCCGGCCCCCTGGAAATGTGTTATTAAGCTATCTGGAGACATCATTTTAAACACTGTGACTCATACTCCAAGATGACCACCCTTCAGTGGGTTGGTCCTTTCTCTTACAGAATATGTGTATCTGTGCTTGTGAGATCTGTGGTACCCATCTTCTTGCAGTATCATTAGGTTCCATTCTAGTCCTAATTGCATGGACCACTGCACTGGTGTATCATTTCACAGAATTTCAGAAGCTGTGGGTGCAGGACAAGTTAGGCTCAGGAAGGGGCCATCTTTAGTGCCGGCCACGTTGGACTAGCTCCATAGCTGAGGCTCGGCACTCAGTGGGGCAGATTCCTTCCAGATCATGGTGAGCTGATACCTGGTGTCAGGTCTTGTGGTAGCTCCTTGCCGTGGAGGCAGCTGTATCCTAGATGCTAAGGGGCTGCTTAGCTTGGGACTCATAGTGGGAACGAGGAGGTAGTTTAGTGTAAAGCTTGATGTCCATGTCTAGGAGCTTTCTCATCTTTTTTTTTTTTTTTTTTTTTTTTGGTGGAACCAGGGATTGAACTCATTCCCCTGAGCTTGCTAGGCAAGCACTTATTCTATTGAGCTATCTCCCCAGCCCCCCAGGAACTTTGTTGTGGTTTTTTTTTTTTGTTTTTTGTTTTTGTTTTTTGGCGGAACTGGGAATTGAACCCAGGTCCTTGCGCTTGCCAGGGAAGCCCCCAGGAGCTTTGATTAGCTAATTACCTTAAATTCTTTTTTTTTTTAAAAACATTTATTTATTTATTTATTTATTTATTTATTTGTGTGTGTGTGTGTGTGGCCAGCTCAGCCCACCAGGGGGCGGGGCTGGCTGGCATGTGGTGCTGGGGGATTGAACCGCGGTCCCTGTGCATTGCCAAGCTTGTTTCAAGTAGGTGCTTTAGACCACTGAGCCATCTCTCCAGCCCCCTACCTTAAATTCTTTAGAGAGTGTCCTGTATTTATGTGGCCCTTAATGTGACTCATCCTCTTGTGCTGCTGATGAGCAAGACTGCTTTTGCTCAGTGGCACTGCTATTGGTGTGACCTGTGCTTTTGTCTTGTAGGATGTATACTCTGGTACGCCCACCAAAGTTAGACACACAGACTGCCAAGTGGAAGATGAATTTGATTTGGAAGCTTGTTTGACTGAACCCCTGAAGGACTTCTCAGCCATGAGCTAACTGCCACCTGGTGGCCACTGAGGGAAAGTTGCCTCCGCCTGGCCCTGGGAAGACCAGCCAGGCACAAGGCATGTGGTACACACTTCTGCTTGGATGGTATCTCTGTTAATAATTCACTTATCTCATGGTGAGTTGTTACTTTTGCCTTATTTGTACAGTGTGTGTTCTGCATGTTTTAAAATGTAAGTGGACCTTACTCTGAGGAAGAGTGAACCTAAAAACAATCTAGAAATGAATTTAGTTGGTTAATGCCCACCAAGCTTCTTGCTTCAAATTAGACTAACCAGAGTGCTTTAACTCTCAGTTACTGTTCAGTTATGGTTGTCCATGAATCCACAGATCTGGGTTGTGATCTGACTGCATTCCATTCATGGGACTGATGTAGAACTAGCTTTCTCTACAGGTACCCAACTATATTCTCAGAGGCAGATGTCTTGGGTGAGTTTTTTGAAAACTTACTTTCTGTTTTTTTATCAGTATGTCAAACTTAAGTTTGGTTTCTCATATAGAGCTCTGAAAGTCAAAGATTGTAAACTGGACTGTTAACAGGTTTTTATAAGTTATACAGTTTTAATTTGGTACTTGTAAATAGTCCTAGTTAGGATCTTAACCTATAGTACCCTGAGAGTTAAGAGAATGCACAGGTAGAACTTTTTTTTAAATAGTCATTTAATTTACCATGTAAAATTGCTGTAAATGATAACATGTACAGATTCTGTTCAGATATTCAGTTGTAAACTTAAGACTGTTGTGTTTCTATTGCTTTTGTATGAAATGATACTGCAAAAATAAAAAGGAACCTTCTTTAACTGGTTGATAACTGTGCCAGATTGGCTCATTGCCCCAGCACAGGGCTCTGTCTCCTTGATTTGCGGTGCTCATTTGTGAGAGGGTGGAGCCACTGTTGGGGAAATGGCAGCAGAGGGCCCTGCCCCTACCTTAAGTCCCTGCCAGGCCCACCTGCTGACAGATGTGGCTCTGATGGGAGATTATGGCAATGTGTCAGTGCAAAAACCTGCCATGTCATTGTGTTCCTGACAGCCTATTCTTTTTTTTTTAAAAAATGTATTTAGTACAGGGCCTCACTACACAGATTGGACTCGTAGTGATCCTCCTGTTTTCAGCCTCCTAAGTGCCGGGATTACAGGCAGGTGCCACCACGCCCTGGGGGTGGGGCCGGCATGGCAGGCCGGGGATGGGACCCCCAGCCCTTGCGTCTGTGACAGCCTGGGTTCTGAGGACATCCTGCTCCAGGCTGGACCCTGGCAGCACTGACCCAGACATATGGCTGTCAGCCCAAACCCACAGACATGTGCTGCAGGGCACCTTCAAAAGTGAGGCAGAGGTGGGCTCTGGCAGCTTGGTTCAAGGAGTTTGCAAGACAGAATGCCTTGTGCACCTTGAGCAAAGAATGTATTAGGACAGCCCCTACAGACACTGGAGGCACAGGAGGGGACAATGCCTGTAGGCAGCTGCATAGGTTGCATGGTGCCCTGGCGGATTGGATCAAAGGGTGAAAGGAGAGCAAGGGAGGAGGGCATTTGAGGAGTCGCCACTGTAAATGTTGTGATGAATGCTGAGGTGGCACTTGAGGCAGGCTCCCTGTCATTCCTGGAATGGCAGCACCCAGTGGAGGCTCTGGGCAGTATATGCAATCATGAAGTGTGGGAGAAGCTGGGGGGACTTGGGGTGTGGTTGCTGAAGGCCTGAGGAGTTGAGAAAGTTGTGTGGACAGCTTCAGTGTGGGGAGATGGGCTAAGGTGCCATTGTGATGAGGATGGGGGACATTTGGCCTCTAGCACATGCCTCACGGCTGGCTGGTCAGCTACAGAGTACTCTAGGCTGGGCACTAACAGGCTCCTGGTTCCTGCCGATCGTGCTGGATCAAGGAGTGTGAGACAAGATACAGAGGGGTCATGATGTCCTCAGCCTTCCCTGCAACAAGGCCAGAGTTCCATAGTTGACTGCCAAGCAAAGGTGCAATCCAGAACGACCCACACTGAAGCTGAGGGTGTGGCTATAGATTCCCTTGTTAAGACGTTTTAATGTTGAAGACGCTATAAACGAGGGGATGGATGTGGTGTGGCACACCTGTGATCCAGAACTGGGAGGTTGAGGCAGGAGAATCAGGGATCGTGAGTCCCAGGCCAGCCGGGCTACATAGTGAGTGAGAAGCTTGTGAGCTTAGGACAGCGACTCGTTTTGAAGAGACTTGTGGATGGAGCTTTAGTCTAAAGAATTAAACCACTGGTAAGATTCACAGGAACAAGTCTAGCAGAGCTTTCAGAAAAGGGATGTTGGGGCTGGTGAGAGGGCTCAGTGGTCTAAAGCACCTACTTAGAACAAGCTTAGCAAAGCACAGGGACCGCGGTTCGATCCCCAGCACCACATGCCAGCCAGCCCCGCTCCCTGGTGGGCTGAGCTGGCCCCCCCCACAATTAAAATTTAAAAAAAAAAAAATAGAAAAGGGATGTTATGTTGGCAGAAACACTGTGGGTGGGATGGAAAGGTAGTGGACATGAAAAGAGACCTCAGACCCTCAGTACACTACCCAGTAGGATGTAGCCTGGGAAAATCTCATCTGCACAAAAGGCAGCCTTTCATTTGAAGGGGTGGTTCTGAGGGTGGGCCAGAACCAGTCAGGCCTGGAAAATCGCCAGTGCAGTGGGGACTGACCACCTGACGTGCTGGCTGGACTGCAGGTTTGCCATGGGTCAGCTATCCAGAAAAATGCGTCCCCTATTGGATGTTGCAGGCCAGGCAGTTGTCAGTTCAGAGAGGCACTTGCCCTGGGTGCTGTCCTCAAGCACAGCTGAAGAACATGGGGCAGGAGCTGGGTTCCTAGGACACCCTATCCCAGACTGATGCTGCAGACAGTGTGAATGTAATTTTATGTTTAAAACTCTTGAGGTGTGTATGTATGGGTATGTCTCTTTGAGACAGGGTTTCTCTAAGCAGGCTGGCTTTGAACTCACTTTGTAGCCCAGGTTGGCCTCAAACTCAGCAATCCTCCTGCCTCAGCCTCCTGACTGCTGGGATGATAGGTGTGCGCCCCATGCTTGGGGGTTTTTGTTTTTGCATTGTTCTTTGTATTTTATGTTTTTATTTTGTATTTTAGGGAAAGGTCTACAGGATGTTCAGGATCTCACTATTAGATTGAACTCTTAGTGCTCTGCCTGTTTACAGCCCCCCAAGAGCTGGGGTTACAGATACGCGCCACCATGCCCAGTCTTTCTTTGTGTTTTAATGTGCAGATTTTAGTTAGACCCAAGTCTGTAATACTAAGTTTTCAGAAAGATTTCTACTTCTAAGCATAGAAGTGTTGCTTTTAGGGCCGGGGAGATGACTCAGTGGAATAAGCGCTTCCCTGGCAAGCGCAAGGACCCGAGTTCAATCCCCGGTTCTGCAAAAAAAAAAAAAAAAAAAAGTGTTGCTTTTGAGAACTCCACACCTGAGGTTCCATCACAGGCTGACTGTGGTGCCAACCATCTGGCCAAGCCCACAAGGGGACCTTGCAGTGCGGTGTTACCTGCCACCCTGTCCTAGTCTTGTTTCCTCACACCTGCTCTGTGAAATGGGCACAGTGGCACCTGCTTCTTGGGGGAAGACTCTGGGGACTGGGTAGGAGAATGAATGTTGATCAGTTAATGCTGTCATTGCCACCTCCAGCACATCTGTGCAGCCCCAGGCAGGAATGCCCAGCACATGCAGAATCTGCTGTGGCTAGGTATCCCGCTGCTTTGTGGAAGCTGAAGGGGGGCAGGGTCTGCACAGAGAGAGGCCTGGTCATCTAGTCTCTGATGCACCCGGTACAACTGAAGTTTGATACAAATCAACAATTTGATGTAACTAAAGTGAAAAATTCTTGAGTTTTTTCTCACATTACTTCCATGAGCCCCCATAACGCTACTGAGCTGTATATCCAGCTTTTTTTTTTTTTTAACGTATTTAGTACAGGGTCTATGGGGACTCACTACACAGTAGACTCATAGTGATCCTCCTGTGTTTTTTTTGGTGGAACCAGGGATTGAACTCAGGCCCTTGCGCTTGCCAGGGAAGTGTTTATTCCATTGAGCCATCTCCCCGGCCCAGATCCTCCTGTTTTTAGCCTCCCAAGTGCCAGGATTACAGGCTTGTGCCACCATGCCCAGTCTCAATCGATGTCTCAGCGCACCCCAGTCTGCTCTGCCACTCTGTCTGCCTAAGCAGGGGCTTTAATCCACTGAACTATCTGGATGGTCCTCTCAGTTTTGTTTTTCTTTTTTTATGGGGGTTACCAAGAGTCAAACTCAGGACCTCATGCTTGCCAGGCAGGTGTAGTGTCAGAGCTATGGAACCCTAGCCCATTTATTTTTTGTTTTGGTGGAACTGGGGATTGAACTCAGTCCCTTGAGCATGCCAGGCAAGTGCTTATTCTACTGAGCCATCTCCCCAGCCCCAGTAGCCCTTTTATTTTTTAATTTTCAAAAATTATTTTTGGAGGGGCTGGGGAGATGGCTCAGTGGAATAAGCGCTTCCCTGGCAAGCACAACAGCCTGAGTTCAATCCCCGGTTCCGCAAAAAAAAAAAATTTGGTACTGGGGATCAAACTTGAGACCTAGGCAGGTGTTTATGCCACTGAGCTAGCTCCCCAGCCCCTGGCCCTTTTATTTTTATCTTGAGATGATCTTACCAAGTTGCCTAGGTTTACCTTGAGCTTGGCATCCTCCTACCTCAGTCTACCCCTCCTGCTGGGATTACAGGTGGGGAACTCTGCCCCTGTTTTTTTTTTTTTTAAAGGAAGTTTGGCTCATGATCCATGGGTAGAGGGTTCCCATTTTTGGGACCTGAGGAGAAGCAGGGGTCACAGAGGAGGGACTGTGGAGGCCAGGATACAAAAAGCAAGAATGGGGACACCACCTCCTCCAATCAATCCCTGGCCCCCTTCCACCCTTCTCTGAGGTCCATGTGGCTGCGAAGTCGCCATGGGTTAATCCACAGCATGGCCTTGTGATCTGTCACTTCCCTGCTGCCAGTTCTTTTAAGGCCCCTTCCCAGTGCTGCTCTGGGGACCAGGTCTTAAACACATGGGCCTCTGAGGACGTCTAGCGCCAAAGGACAGCTTCCATGTACAGAATGTACCGCTTCACACCTCAAACGGACTGTTGAGCAGCCACCCCATCTCTGGCTGCAGAACTTGCAAAACTAAACTGGCACCCTCCCTCCCACCGTCTGTTTCATGGCTCTGGGGCCTCCTTTAACACGCGGGATTTGTCATTTGACGACTGCATCCGCTCCGGCTGGGCGCCTCCATGTAGCACGCTCACTGAGGGTCTTGCTTCCTTCCGCTCTCTCACCCCGTCTCCAGTCGAGATCTCTTGCCGGCCAGCCAAGCTGATGCTTAGGGCCGCGTGGCCTGGAACCACCGCGCCTGCTTCCTCCATGTGAATGGGGTAGCACTGGGGGGCTGCGCACAGGAAGAGGGCACCAGGCCTTGCAGCAGAGCAGCTTGGTCTGGCTGGTGCCCCGGACGTGCTCGGCCGATTCCTGCAGCCGTTGTCTTCGCTTTCCAGGCCGGCTGGGCGCCAGTGGGAACTTCCCTGACCGTCTGTCGCCGCTTCTGCCCTGATGCCCAAGCGTGTCTCATTCACAGTGACCTGCTTGTGTCCCTGCAGGTCTCCAAGTGCGACCCGAGAGGACAAGCCAGGAGCTCAAGGACACGGAGAGGGTCAAGGGGAGGCGGGGAGGCCGGGAGGCCACTCAGGCCCGGCACCGTGGTGACAGCAGGGCCCCGCCCCCAGGTGGTGGCCACGCCCCCACCTCAGGTTACAGCCGTCCGGCGCGGGCGGTGACGTCACTACCGGAGTAGGCCGCATGAGGGGCGGGGTTCCGGCGTGGGGTGGGGCCGGCGCAGGCGCAGGCTGTGGATGCGGGTCTCGGGGCGGGCCCAGGCGAGAGGTCCCGCCCC